TACATTACATTATTTTGATTTCGGTCGACTGCGATAACTCTAAGTCGTATGTGCTATTCTCATGGTGTGTTATATAATAATAATAATAATATTATATTATATTATATATATATATTTCTATATAATATTTATTTTACGATCATGATCCAACGTCGTTTTAAGGTTCACGAGGAGAATACGATATCGGTTTTACGATGTTGTGTCATTTTATTTTTACTATCATTATTTTATTTTTTTTGTGTGTCCCTCAAACACTTTTACCAGTGAAAAAAGAGTGTGCTCAAAAAGTTTTTATTTCAGCCCCGTCTATCGATCGGAAATCGGACACAGATGGTACATATCATTAGAGAGGTCCACGCATTCACATCAGTTTCCAGGAAAACTGCGAAAAAACTACCGAACAGCAGTACGATTTATGGCAAAACGGTTTGAAACAAATACGCAAAGGTAGAGGCACCCGGTTATAACAATAACAAAAATAGAAATTCGACCTGGAGATTTTAAATTTGATACTTTCGTAGTCGTCAAAGTGACTTAAGAATCACTATACATTTCACTAGGTCATTTTCAGAAATATAGCTTTGCGTGTGTCTGGTTTTGATACGATGGTGTGGTATTGATGTCGCATCGGACCAACATAATAATATATTAATATATATTTTTATCTGATACTGTTTGAGACATTCAACTTTTGATGAAAAACATTCATCTTTAGGCATTTCGGCTCACGAGAACATGATTTATTTTGAATGGGAAGATATGGATAGTTATGTATATTAATATTATTATTAGTGTATATTAGATAATTCATTTATAAAATAATATTGTATATTTTATTTTATCAACAAACAATAATTATTTTCTAGGTAAATTAATGTATTTTTTTTTTCATACAATACAATATTAAAAGTAGGTACCTATTTACAACAAAACTTTTTTGAAAACAAAATTATACAATACTTTCAAAAACGAAAGAAATTATTGGCAAAACCAGTGTTTAGTGGTAAGACAAAATTCCTGCAATGCATCAAATACATTATTGTTCTGACTACTGAGTATAATTTATAATATGATGCAGGTACTTATATTATATTATAAGCATAGAAGCGGTCGTCCGTCACATACATCATATTATTATTATTGCATTGTATTGCTGTCGTAAGTGCTCTTATATAATAATATTGTATTGCACGCGATTTTACGGGTTCACCGTTTTAATTATCATTATTCATTATTAGCCAGTAAATCATGTTATTTTACCATTCTTAGCATTATTTAACGTTTTAGACGGCCGTACGACTTAAACAGTACACGAGCGACTTGCAGTACATAATAATATGTTGGTTCATTTACCGTGGTTGCATAACGATAATATTATATTATGGTGTGCCTACCTACACCACTGCAGTATATTGTTATAGACCAGCTAAAATCGTGTAATTGGATTTTTTGTTTGCGTGCGAACCGTTGTCTCGGAGGAAAAGAAACTCCACAAGAGCGTAGGTATACGTACACTAATAATAATATTAAATTATTATAACACACAATCGGATACGATCGATTAAAGGCGTATTTGTTCTATCTAAGAACGACTGCCGCAAGAAGTGTCGAGAGGAAGAATTTAAAATTTTATTTTTCTTATTATGTATATATTTTCATTTAATCGAAAATAATAGGAAATAGGGTTGATGTAAAGACAGAAAAAAATCAAAGAAGGTAAATGCGCGTATATACGATGATGTACTTTCTAAGGTCACGCCCAAACCAGGAAGTGTTTTACACAATACGAATGAAAGAGTTGGGCGTCCAAAAATGTGTTCGTATAGTGCCTTGTTTATGTTCGAAATATCATTTTAGCGAGGGCGAACTGCTGTCAGGAACGTCATATTCGACGACGAGTATTTTTTACACTTCACTACCCCACCCGGTCTACACCACGACTGTCCCCGTCATTCTTTTTCTTTTACTCATATTTTTCCGATGGTTTTCGAAACGAAACACCTGGGCGTTTTTAAGTGCTAAAGTGAAGGGGCCAGCAACGCGTTTTCTTAGTTTTAAAAACGAGCCGTCATTTAATTTTTTGACGAACGTTTTGAGGAAAAAATAAATTAAAGGCCGTTGTTAAAAATAAACCCACAAAAACCTGCGAGTCCGGTGAGGCTCATATGTGCACTTTATTGATGAATATCGTTTTTTTATTTTAGCTATCGCGTAAAAGCTATTTTTACAAAAGTTTTACTGTTCTTAATTATTATGCCTTTATATTTCAATATACCTACCGAACAAATCCAAGGTATGTGCATGTATAGTACGTATATTACAATAATAATTGTGAGTGGAGATTTAATTAATTTTTTAGATTATTATTAATATTTTAAGTTTTCGATATGCGTATAATATACTTATACCTACTATAACTTTACTAAATATAATCCCGACGATGAGCTATACTGTCTATAACGCTCATATTTATCATTAGGATTAAGTATTATCATAGTAGTGTGATGGTTTTTTACGAGTGTGGCAAAATCCATCCTATTACAATCCTCCCGTTGGCCGTTATTATAGGTACGTGCGTATAACCGTATAGACAAATAAATTCTGTAAACCGAAATGTATAGCTGCTTCGTTGATATTTGTTCTGATCTTATACCTGCGATCAGAAAATGTTTACGACGTTGGGGCATAAACATTGTGTCAAATAGGTTAATATTTTTTGTCCGGACGTGTTATAGAGTTACATATTTTGTCACTCTAGGTGACTTCAGGCGATTGGTTTTTGACAAAATGAAGACAAAATATCATCAGTCTGATTATTGTGGAAAAAGGCGTGACTTTAAGTTGCTAATTTCCAATAAATCCTACATTTTTATACTAAAAAAAAAAAAAGTGAGAGTGTTTGACCATTACACTGTGGGGAAGTAAAACTTCTTTCATAAGTAATTGGGCCCATGAAATTATAAGTGAATTAGGGAGATAGTGAGAAAAATCAATACAATAAAAAAATATTTTTGTTTATTAATGGTTGCTATGGACATATAGAAATAAATAAACAAACGTGTAAAAAAATAAAAAATAAAATTTTTTAAAAACACACTTTTCTAAAAAAACAAAAAAAATAATGAAAAATTTAAAAGTGTGTGGGGCTCTTACACTTGACATATACTCCCAGTCACTATCTTATAAACAGGATTGCACAAAGAAGTGTATGTGAGACTTAGCTCGGCTTTAAATGTTTTGTATGATGCACCACACATTTTAAAATTTTTCATTATTTTTTTGTTTTTTTAGAAAAGTGTGTTTTTAATTTTTTTATTTTCTACTTTTTAGTTAAAAGTAAATTTTTTTTATTTTAACAACATTATTCTGTTATATGCTGTACGGCTAATTTACTGAAGTTAGGTTAGGTTAACCCGCCTTGACCCAGAGAAGCCCTTCGTATCTGTACTTCCTCGGAGATGACTTTGCACACCCGTCATCGCCGACCTGGAGGTCTGTGTCCCAAAATGACAATGGATTATTGTATTGTCATCCAAGACCAAGGTAATACCAATTTTCAGAATTTTTCATCGTCAAAAAGTGCCTCAAATCGAGCGTGCAAGATTTGATTACAGACAAACAGACGTGAAAGCGAACTTAAGAAAAGTGTGTAAAAATAAATAAACAAACGTGTCGTTTCATTTTTCGTTAAATTTTTTTTCCACCCACACCTCAAGAAAGAAGTTTTACTTCAATACATTTTATAGGAATTTCAGTTTTATATTTTAGACTGGCTTTAAAATAAAAAAATAAGTTTCCACAATTATGCTCATCTATCATTATAAATAACAGAGTGGAAAATATATAATAATTTGATCGAATTTCTTTTGATTCTGTTGTTTTTTTAAATTATTCAATTTATCGTCTAGATAATATATCGAACTTATAGTAACGTATCCAAGATACGACTAAGAAGTGTGCTTTTATAATATAATTTAAGAGTGATAAAACTATAAAATTTAAAATTTTTGAAGAGTTGATTATGGCGCTTTATCTTTGAGTGTGTACATTGAGCTTGTTGTTCTATTTTCATTGACACGAATTCCGCCAATAATTTTTGACGGATTAGGTTTGATACATAGTTATACAGAGTGTTTTATCGTGTTTATCTTTTTCAATGACCTTTTTTTCAAGTATGATTTTGAAAATTATTTCTATGATTTTTTAGATATCCAGAATATAATTTTACTTATTATTTTAAGCATTTTTCGCAATGTACAAATCATGTTCTATACTGAATGTAACCCTGCCAACGATAGTTCAATAATAATAATAATAATAATAATAATAATAATACTATTTATTTAGCTTGTAATTGTTGTTCTCTTAAGGATTGAAATGGACATGTCAGTTTTGCGAACTGCAGGATGTGGTTATCATAAAATATATAATTTAGTAATACATTATAAAAATATTATTTTTTGTATGGCTGTGAATTTAACATGGGTTTATTTTTTGCTAGTTCGTAGAAATAATGGAGTATGGTCAAAACTTCTCTTACATTACTACAAGTGCATAATGTTATATAAAATACTATATAGTTTGGATTTTCTGCAAACTTCGGGGTTCTATAGCTCGGTACATTATACCCGATTACACAATGCATATTTTAATCTAGCTACCTATCGAATTTTTATATTTCAATCATTTTACACACCATAAACGAAATCGAATAAACTCCTCACCCCTTCCCACCCTCTTATCAGAATAGGTAGAAAAAGTATATATTATTACGAGACACGAAACCGTTGTAGCATAACGTATAACATATTTGATATCAGTGTCATCGTAAAAAAATCATAAAAACGATAATAATATAACATGGCGACATGTCATTAGACCTGTACACCATAAATTAATAGATATTATAATTTGCGAACATTCCGGATTAACGTTATCTCGTAGGCCGTGAGATCTGTGCCGAGGTGACGGCGGCGTCGACGACCAGTCGAGACTCGACGATGGCTCGTTACGCGTTCGTTACGTTCGTTTTGTTCTTTGTCACGGTGGTGCCACGGCACCGGCGTGACGCGGCCGGCCAGTCGAACGACTTCTCCGCGTCGTACTACTTAAACGTGGCCGACGGGTTTAAAGCAGCGGCTGCCGGTGGGTTCGATGCGGCGGCCGCGTTGGCGACCAACGACAGTTCGGCGGCCACTAACGGTACCGCCGGCGCCGTGTACAGGTTGCCGGGCGGCGTGACGCCCGTGTCGTACACTTTGCGTGTGGACACCGACTTGGACAGGCTTTCGTACTCGGGCAGCGTGGAGATCGCGATCGTCGCGTCTGTGTCGCCCAAGTTGTGCCGGATCGTGCTCAACGCCAAAGACGTCAGGGTGACGGGCGTCCGGGTGTCCGATTTGAACACGGGTGATCCGCTGCCTGTCATCGACTGGCAACTTGTTGACGGCGACGAGCAGCTGACCGTCATGGTGGGTGGTTGGTGCCTGATACCCACTCGATACTACGTGGTCGCCGTCGACTTTCAGGCGCCGCTTCGGGATGACATGTCCGGCTACTACAAAAGCTCATACCGAGAGGGAAACATCACCAAGTATACCTTCTCGCAAACATTGTTTATTCGGGTTTTGGGTGTTCAGACGTAGGAATAATTTCAACGACTATTTCCCGGAATTTTGATGATATAATTTTGGTTGATATTGGAATTGTTGTGATAATAATATGGGCGTTGAGTAGGTAGTTCAGGAAACACTTAATTTGTGAACCGTGTAGGAAGGCACTCTGCTACCTATTGGGATATTTCTTACAATATAAGTTAGACTCATAAAATTGTATATATATCATATGCGTATATGACTTAACCTATGGTTAATATTATTACAAAATGTCAAAATGTCTATTTAAATACTAGTTTAGACCACAAACAGTTTAGTTCACTTAAAAGTTACAACATTTTCTATACATTTGACACGGTTGACATGTACCACGATATATTTGGAGCATAATGGTATTGAACCTGTCATTTTTTAAAAATGGTTTCTTGATTCCTAAAACAAAATTTAAAAAAAAAAAACTCTATATTTTATTTTGTTTTTTTTTAGAGTTGATAGTTTCGGTTTTAAGTTTCCATATTTCACATAAGTATACCCTGGTTAAGTATAAGAAAATCGTTTAATCTCAAAACTATTCATAGAATCGTGTCTATGTAATATTCAAATTTTAATACTGAATTTACAAAATGTTTTAGAATTATTATTAATATTCGAGAACACATCTCCCCTACAAACATATATCTGACTTCGAAAATTACAGTAACTGCACTCATTTAGACTTATATCATGCGTATTTTTCTTGTATGTAATATGCACATAATATATTATATTTTATGAAAAATCAAGGAGTGTAGTCTGAAAGTCATACATTTTACACATAAGAATAGCATAGGCGTAAGTTATATTATGGGTGTTTAGCACCCACGGGTTTGAAATAAGCCATTTATTAGGTAGGTACCGTTTCCCCGAGTACCTATTAATCTACCTTACATATTGTACGAACCATTTATTAATCGTTCTTTGAATTTTTGTATTTATTCACTTTAAAAATATATATATTTATGTAGGTATAACGAATTATTTTAGAACCTACTTCCTAACTTTACACCTAATGTGCACGTTTATATTGGTTCTACTACGAAAAAACTATTACTAGGTAGATATTAAGTTCTTGGGTTATTGTGTATAATAAATATGCTTCACACGTTGGCGTCCGTGATATAATATATTATTATACGTTACAAATTTACATGTGTTTATACTAATCGAATTGATAAAAAACATATTATAATTATTATTATTTTAATGGTTTGAAGTGGTGGTTTAATATACACAATAATGATGATAATATTATATCTGTTTACGGGTGGTGTGAAATTCAAAGTACGACTCTTCCACTCGTATAACGATTATTTATACATAGTTTTAAATTGTACAAATATTATAAAATATATTGTTTTATGTGGTTTTAGATGGTTGGCTGTGACAAAATTTGAACCCACTCACGCAAGAAAAGCATTTCCTTGTTTCGATGAACCCGCGCTCAAAGCACCGTTCACGGTGTCCATCAAAAGGCGGTTTGATCAAATATCTTTGTCCAATATGCCGTTGTCGAATTCCTCCAAAATGTATGCACAATATTGTATGTTTTCCTTATTGTGCTTTTGTTCGATCGTATCCACTCGCCCACTAGCTCTTTTGGATTTTAACCATGTCATTCTAATGAAAGACCGTGGTGCACCAGGGCGCCGTGGCGTAAACTTTGGGAACCTCTGCAATAATGTATTTTTTAAATGTGGCGGTATTCTTATACCAACAAGATATTTTTTACGATATTTGAAGGCACGAAATTAAACTATAACATATGTTTTAATTTTAAATTGATTTAACACATTTTATCTTTGGTCTCGCGTATATTTTGCTAGCCCCAAGTTAATTGTTCAATGTTGCGAGTGTTTCAGTATAGTAAGTACACTGCATAAACATAAGTATGATCATTGTCGTGACTGCAGAGACCGACATTTGGACGCCACTTTCGTTCTGCCCGAAACATTTAGAAAACGTGGATTTTTAACTATCAATATTGTGGGAGGGAAGGGTAGAGAAATTGGCAAAACAATCGGATTCACAACAATTAATGGACAAAATGCTTACCTACTTGTGTATTTAGCTATGTCCGAACAAGATTGCCGAAATAGTTGTATCCCGCTTATATTAATTTGTGTATTTTTCTCGCCCCCTACACAGACAGCATACGGACATGTTCTGGGATCACTACCAGGAGACTCCTCCGATGTCCACGTACTTGGTGGCGTTTTTCGTGGGTGAATTTTACGCCATGAGAACGCGTAACATCGGGATATATACGCATAAGAGTTACGTGAAGCAGGCTGAGTATATTGCGGACGAATCGCCGAAACTGCTCAAAGCAATGGAGGAGTTCACCGGAGTGGATTACACGTTGCCCAAACTGGATTTGCTAGCGATTCCGGATTTCGCGGCCGGCGCGATGGAGAATTGGGGCTTGAACACGTACAGGTAATGGATGAACGATTACCACGTATAACAATAATTTTCACTATCCTAATTTATTAAACAACACATTTTTAAGGTACTTCCATAATACACATACATACATGATTTGATGCAATTCTGTTTTATGTTAATTGTAAGAAAATGTTTAGGTACAACATACAAACGGGATAAAAGAATGACGAGTGTTCAGCACTCGAAAAGTGTCCATGAATTTTATAATAGACATTCCCGTTGTTAACAAATGCAGAGTTGAATATTTAATTTTGAATTATGGATGTAATATTACCTATATAGGTATCTAGTTACAACTAGAAAACAAATTCTCTGCGAAATCTTCTTGTCAAATATTATTAATTAACGAATTTTAAAGAAAAAATATGAATGGCGTTCCAACAGGGAGAGACTGTTACTGTTGTCGGAAAATTCCAGAACGAAAATAAAAGAGTTTGTGACGACAGTCGTGCAACATGAACTCTCTCATCAATGGTTCGGAGACCTGGTTACTTGCGCGTGGTGGGATTATTTGTGGCTGAACGAGGGTTTCGCAACGTTTTTCGAATATTTTGCAACGAAAATGGTATAATATTAATTATAAAATGCATACACGTTCAACGGCAAGAGTGAAAGAACAAAAATAATCATATTAACAGCGACAATTTTATTTTACTGCAGGTTGAACCAGACTGGCGCCTAGAGGACGTGTTTGTGTACGAAGTGCATCAATTGGCTTTGGACGCGGACCAAAGCCCGATGCATGCCATATCGGGATCCGTTGAGACCCCAGAACAGATCCAGAGTATGTTCGACGATATATCCTACAGCAAAGCAGGGGCGGTGCTCCGGATGTTACAGTACGTGGTGACCGAGGACAATTTCAAAAGGGCGTTGAACCTGTATCTGACGAAGAACGAGTGAGAGCTGACGATTTTCCGAGTTTGTCTGGCTAAACGTTTTAAAATAAATATTGAAAACCGTATTCGTGTAATATTATTTAGGTTCAAAGCGGCTACTCCCGAAGAGCTGTGGGACGCGATCGAAAACGTTCTCTACGACGCCGAATACGATTTAGGGGGAAATGTAACCGTCACCGAATTCATGAGATCTTGGACGGAACAGGCCGGTTACCCATTGGTCGAAGTCGTCAAGGAAAATGACGCTTTCGTCATAACTCAGGTAGATACGGGCGATATCTGCACGTGGTGATTAGTAGAACAATTAACAAGTTATGATTTTTCAGAAACGGTTTTTGGTTCACGGTTCGAATGATTCTACCGATGACGATGTGACGAAATGGATTATCGGTCTGACTTACACGACGCAAAACCGGAAGGATTTCAACGGAGTTTTGCCCAAGATTTGGCTGTTAGAAAACAAGACCATTTTGACGGATCAAGAAGGAACCGGATGGTATATTTTCAATTTACAGTCAGTCGGTAAAGTGTATAAAAAACAATATAATATGTTATCCGTTTTGAATATTTTTAGTTACTGTAAAATAATTCAAATGTGTGTTTTTTTTTTTTTTTAAATGAAAACTAGGATTTTTTAGAGTTAATTACGAGGAAGAAAATTGGAACGCCTTAATTGGTCAACTGAATAACGATTGCAAGGAAATACACGTGCTCAACCGGGCTCAGTTGATTGACGACGCGTTTAATTTGGCCAAGGCAAACCAAGTGGATTATGCACTAGTTTTGAGATTGTCAGAATATCTGAAAAATGAAGACGATCCGATCCCATGGTATTCAGTTCAAAATGGATTCGCGTATTTGATGAACCGTATGCGACGTTGTCCGAATGGTTACAAGAAACTGAAAGTAAATATTATTACTGAGTGTCGGTTACTCGGTTACTGGTTCGATATGATTTTAACCTTCTATACTGCTTTATTTATTTATTTGTTTTGGTATATCATTTATCATAGTAATAACTTATATTAGGTTGAAACATGAAATAGTTCATTATGATTTTAAATAAGGAACTAAGTATATACACAATATTATTAATTATATGCCGCCAAATCGTGTGCACTTGTAGGCTTACGTTGGATACTTGGCTGGGTTGATATACGCTAAAACCGAAGATCTCGTCGTGAACCACAACAGCACAGACCATACCGTCAACACGGGCTGGAACGCGTTCTCTAGTTGGGCGTGTAGACTGGACAACGAACCGTGCACGAAATCGGCTTTGTCTTATTTCCGGAAATGGCGTAGGGGCAAAAAGTAACTGGATCTAACCTAACCTATAACGATGGTCAACGTGGAAGGGGATCGATATTAATCAATGTTTTTATTTGTTTCCAGTATACCATCCGATATCAGGGACGCAGCGTTTTGCGTCGGCGTGAAACATGGTGATTTAGAAGTGTGGAATAGCGTCCTCGAAGTGTACGTCCGATCCGAGTCGGCGTCCGATCGACAGTCCGCTCAGTTGGCTTTGGCGTGTTCTAAAGATCAGATTCAACTGTCAAAGTAAGTACAGTATGTATCAAAAGTCTTCATCCGATTACGAACTGATATAGTTCGGTAACGGTTAATCGCAGGTTAATGACCAATGTATTAATGGAAAGATTAGATAACCAAGTTCATTTTAAGTTATCTAGTTGATAAATTTGACACCGTTATGGTTAGTGAACTAGGAAACGTTAGTTTTTTTTGTTATGGTGTTTTGTTAGAAAGCGTTTTGCGACCTTCGTTTCAATAAGTGCGAGTCGGTAATAACCATTCAACGTGATTTTCGAAGAACTTATGGAACTTAAGCTCCAACTGTTCAAATTATTTATCAACTAGATAACTTAAAATAAACTTGGTTATCTAATCTTTCCATTAATACATTGGTCATTAATCTGCTATTAACCGTTGCTGAACTATATCAGTTCGTAATCGGATGAAGACTTTTGATACACTCTGTATATCGATTATTGGTAAATAGTAGGTCTCTGCTGCAAAAGCAATAGTACACGAAAATATCGGTGTACTTGTTTTGTTTGTTTTTTTACCTACTTTATAATATAGCGTTTGCTTTTAACTATCAAACAACATTATCTCATAGCTCATATTGACGACTATTTTATTTTCATAGGTATTTAGATTTCATGTTTGAAGGGTACAACGGTCCAATTCTGCCACAAGACTTCAGAGTTATATACCGCACGTTGGCATCGACACCACAGGGTATCAGCGCATTGATCGAGTTCTTAACCACCAAACTCGATCGGATTGTAAACGAATTAATCAACGGGGAACAAGTAGCGACGTCTATATACTCGCTGTTGGCTTCTAGAGTGGCTGGTGACGAAGAAATACAAAAGGTACTCAAAGTCTCAAACCTATAACAGAATATCCTTTAACATATGAACCTATGGAGGGGCTTTGGTGGTGGGATATCCTGTGGCGTTTCCACAAAAGTTTGTGTAATGGAATGGGTGTGGCGGTGAACAATTAAATTTAATAATTTAATTTAAATTTAAAATTTAATTTCAGTGGCCATTTTCTGTTGATAGAACCGCCATTTACATGAAAAAAGTAAACTCGTGCCACAAACGAATGTTTTAGTAAAAATAGGTCACTACTCACTACGGATAGGCCACTACTGTAATATATGTAAAAAAAAAAAAGAAGGTTTTTGAGAAGAATTTACCGAAAATTAATAATATATTATTTAACTTAATAATGTTTGAAAGATTGACAACCTGAGGAAAAACCCATCGGTACCGGAACGTCTCCGGCGGAAATTCGACGCGTCGTACCGCAGCAGAGTGTATGGAAATCTAGCGTGGTTCACGGCTCACCATTCGACAATCGGTGAATGGTCCTCGGCTGCTGTGCTCAGACTCGGATTGTCAGAGAACCCAGGCATCCATCATTCCACCGGAAACTCCACCGGCCGTGACCCATCCGAAACGTGGTCAAATGACACGTCCAGCGCCACCAGTTGGTCGCTTGAGGTGTCAGCATTCACTTGGGTCTTGGCGGCGCTGTGTCTGTGCCCCACTCAACACCTGTCGTTGTTGTTGTCACAGTGATCGTGTCGGTCACCGTTCCGGATGTGCGTGAAAATACTAAAATCCTTTTTTCCGATGATGTCGATGATTATTCTGAAACGTTTTTCCCCAGTGGACGTTTTACGCAATGAACATACTAATGCACGCCTAAAATTCAAGTAGACCGACAAGTATAGACTATTATACTTTAGAAAATTTGTATGATGGTACAATAAAGGTATCAATATAAATGCTTATATTTTATAGTAAAATATTATTTATTTACCCTCTAGTTGTAACTTTGAACACTATTATGTTCTTAATAATATGTTTTGTTTTATAAAAAAAAGGTACCTAGTATACTTATATTTTTGTAATGAATATTTATATATTTATAAATATATAACATCTACCTGTATAAAGTATACTATTGTTGTTTTATACTCACATAATCCATATTCTATCTATATTAAATTTGAGAAAAATAATGTATCTACTTATAACATATTTTTAATGTTTTTTTGAAAATATTCTCGATTTTGTACATATTAATAATTGCTGTGCGCCTGTGCTTATATCAACCATCACAATAACTATGGGTTTTTGAATTTGTAAATACAGAAAATATTAGGCTATAGCTAAAGCTCAATAAAAATATGAATAGTTCTGATTTCGTAATGGTAAGCAAATTTATTAATGGTAGCCATCGGAAAATACGTAATTTTAGTGTGATGACGAGAATTAAAATTCTAAAATTCTTACTAGGCAAACAGATATATTCCAGGCCACATAAACTACTTTTAGATTTTACCTATATTGGCATTGATATGGATTAAATGATTATGCTGGTTTCAATTAATGATTGGAATAAGTTTTAAAATTGTACATTTGAACGTAACATATTTCTCCCTTATTATTATCAACTATCAACCATATGATAATACTTAACGAGAAAACGTTCTGTAAGCACTAGCTATGTCCACAACTAAAGTATCTCAATGGCTAACACTCTCCTATACGCCTAGTAGTATAACAACGTATAAATGTATTACTTATTCCTGTAAAATACATTATAGCCATCTATTTTTTGAATGAGTTAGGTAAATTATTTTTGAACGTTAGTGGCAATAGTCTGAGCCATATTATAGTATAAAACAAGCAAAAAAATAGAAAAAGCACTTAAAAAAATTACGAAAAAGGCACTTTTAAATTTTCGTACTTGAAATCATAGTAACATGACATAAATTTCAATAGCACACTAGATTTGAAGTTATGCAAATAAAATAGCATATTACTTTAAGTCCCAAACCCAATAAATTATTTATAAAGATAACAGATGATATTAGATATTTTTATTTATTTTTATACTAAGTATCAACAATCCAAATAATAACAATATACCACCTTTCACTTGCATAAGGTTGTGGGTGATTATTATTTATATAAGCACAAAAGTTGTTAAGTTGGATTACGTTTTTGTCGAATTAGAAAATATTTTATTGTCCAACAATTACCAACAAACTAAAAAATCGAAACCGTACATTTTCTACAAGTACCTATGTAGTTAGATACTAAGTCTTGACTCTTTATAGTTTCATTTCATTCGGGAAGCTGTTTAGGCTTTACTCGATTAGTGGAAATTAAATACTATAGTTGTAACGATGTATTTTTTGCAATTTAAATAATAATATAAAACAACCATTTAGACATTAAATACCAATAAAACAGAACTTTCATTGTTCCATAAATGTTGTATAACTGTATAATGTATACTAGGTACTTTACTGTAACGTTACAAAACATTAGTTATTATAAGACCATATAACTTCAGAATTTTCTCACACTATTATTGATACACACGGACTTTATAATATTACTGTGAGTGTTTTATAAATACAAAAATACAGAAATCCAGCACATATAGGTTATATAACTACTTTATACGTTTATCATATTATTCCGAATCGGAATATCCTGGTTATATCCTGGCCAATATTGCTGTTTTTAAAAACACAAGATATGCATAGAAATTATTAGTAAGTAATGTAACCAATTAATTTACGAAATGGTTAATGACAGTCATATTATTATGATATTATATAGATTAGTATAATGTCATACATTAAATAAATCACCATAATATAGTATAATATTGCAATTATTATTTAAATAATAAGTTGAATTTGTATGTTTGGAACTATGTAAAATATTTGGACCTCAAACCTTAATGAAGAAGTTAATGAAATCGGACCATTTGTAAGAAGAAGTCAACCATAGTGGGTAAGAATGTGATATTTTGGTTTCAATGAACAATTGTAATGTATAAATATGTATAATCGATTGTGTTCAGAAACCAATGTATCAAGTAGACGAGAACATTCAGGTTGAAGTAGCCCAGCACAGCAAATATCAATATTTTTTACATTTTATTGTTAACATACTACCTAGTACCGATTTTGTGGTTTTCTTCTGTCGCGATAAAAAATTGTATTAATATTTTTCAACAATCATTGATAACATCAAGTTCTGATTAAAACAATACTATTTCGATAAGTTAAAATAACAACAGCTCGTAGCTCATTTCAACTCAAATCGCAGTCAAATGAATGTTTTATTAGGTAGTTAAAATGAACAAACTATAATTGCTAAGATAATTACATTTCATGTTATTTTCAATTTATAAAGGTTTTATATTAACAAGATTATAAATTCAAATTAACTATATTAATAAGTTGAAATAATAATAATATCTTTATGTATATGCAAATGTAACGCGAATGGCCTTAGTAATCGGAGGAGAGATTTATAATTCAAGACCTCGGTAAAAAAAGGAAAAAAATATATGTAGGTATATATTGTTATTTTATAACATTAAATATAGTCAAACATATGGTTTGAGTATTATACTCCTTTTGGTGTTAATTAAAATACAATATGTGTATAATTATTTAATAACTATACACTATCAACAATATTGTCGAGAGTTATCAACACAAGAATTTCTATGTGTAAGTCGTCTTAATTTTTTCATATATTCTGACAATCTCAAAACCAGTGAGCATTCCAATTTTCTTCCTCGTAATTAACTTTAAAAGATCCTAAAGTTTTGATTTTTAAAATAACAATTGTAATTATTTTACAGTAATTAAAAATATTCGAAACCGATAATATATTGTTGTTTATACACTTTCCCGAAAATGAAAATATAACACCCGGTTCCATCTCGATTTGTCAAAAGGGGCTTGTTTTCTTTGAGCCAAATCTTGAGCGAAACCCCGTTGAAATCCTTCCGGTTTTGAGTCGTGTAAGTCAGCCTGATAATCCAGTTCGTCAAATTGACGTCGGTATAATTATTTAAACCGCGAACCAAAAACCATTTTTAAAAAATCATAGATACATGATATCGATCTTATAAAATATTCCTTTAACAGTTTTTGATAATCTAGCATAAAATAGTCAAAAACCACTAAACTAATCATTAAAGAAATCCTAACATGATATATCCTGCAGGATAAAATGTATATAATGACATTCGTTTCAAGTGCGGTGTGTTGTTGACGGATTACTTACTGAGATTAGAGGGTTGTAAATTGTTCCAAAATAATACAATTTCGACATCCATTTCGTTGGCAGGTGAACGACCGTACTATCTACAACATGTTGCATATGGAGCTCGTGGGTTTATTACTAGATAAGATAAAACTAATACGGACCCGATGTCTTAATACTCAAGAACATTGTAATATTATATTATACACAGTTTATTGCAAGTTATCGTCGTTCACTGCAGATGCATTCATGTTGACATATTACTTGGTCTACATGTTGTGCTGGTATACTCTGGTCCGGCAGTTGAGAGGACAGGCTGGAAATACGAACTTGATGAATACCATGGATACTGTGTTCAGGCTGCCTGCAGGTACTACGGTTCCGGACTATGACGACTTACGATTCGAGTTGCAGAGGACTTCAACGGTACCGATAACTTAACGTTCAGAGTCGTGGTGAATATAAATATCACTATCATCTTGTTCACTGAGGTCGTGATCCTGAATCTTAAGGACCTTAACGTTACCACCGTGACGGTGACGGATCTATAACGACGAACTCGAGACCCTTGGATTTATAAATAAGCAAGTTGATGTACCTGACGAACGACGAACAGTTTGAAATCCATCTTAACAAGTCCATTCCGAAAGGTAAATATCTAGGGGTTGTCGATCATGTACATCGCCAATATAATATCTGACATGGCTGGTTTGTATTTGGATTCTTATGAGGAGGGAGACTAAGTAAGTACAACATTATAATTATGACGATTTGAGCGGGGAAATATACTCTAAATGATGATGGTACTAACAAAACGCAACAGGTGGTTAGCTGTGACGCAATTCGAGCCGACTTATGCTAGAAGAGCGTTTCCGTGCTACTACGAACCCGTATACAAAGCAAAGTTTAACATATCGGTTAAAAAAAGCAAACAAAAACATCAGATCGCTCTGTCCAACATGACGATTCAATACATCGAACCCGGGTAAATGTGACCAAAATTGTTTATACTTTTTAGATCGAAATCGAAATATTGAGTTTGTTTTAAAACTTTTTTAATAAATGTTAACTATTACGGAACTATACAAAATTAAATGATTTCAGTGGCAAGTTTAAACTGTAGATAAGTTCTAGTTTTATCACAGTTATACTCTTATGATAAGTATAGCTGGATTATAATATTTAGAAGTAATTTTTTACTCACGCAAAACTTCTAATTAAGAGGTTATAACATACTTACAACTATTATGACTTCATTAATGTTCCTCATATATTTTTCTAATACTATTTCGTTACTATTAATAATGTTTATTGAGTGAATATCATCATCATGCTAATGTTCACTTGATGGGTTTATTTATATTTTAAATTAAAAGCGAGCAAAGAGAATATTTAAATCGTTATAGTTTCAAGTTTGTCTACTGATATAACTCGATTTAAAAATTAAAATGTATAAAAACATGTACTAGATTACTAGAGCTTAAAGCTCATTTAGAATCTGGTTATTGTTAGATTCTTGAAATTTTATAAAAGGTAAATTTACTTTAATTTTAATTAACAATCATTTCACATTTTAAATTCGGAAAATAAATTAGGATACTTAAATAATGCGTTAACGAAGTGTCATCTTCATATTTACGAAAACAATTAAAAAAAAAAATTTGTATTTATTGAAACCTAATATAAAGTATATTGTATTAAATATATCAAGTGGATATATAACATATTTTCATTTTTATTATTTTTTGTTTTTTCCAAACTTAACTTGGGCAACAAGGACTATTATTTTTTAACACAGCTTTTCATTTTATTTTCATGGCCATATTATTATTATACACATCAATATTATAAATTTATAACATAACTAGATTTACATGCCTAGCCAGATGTTTGGAGATTTACGATAGAATCGTTGTCGACTATTTCTGACGATATAGATCTAGAAGTGGTATTTCATTATTTCTCCCTAAACCCACACTTAAACATTTGATTAGTATTATTATTTATATTTTTATTATTCTCATAAACTGTATTATTTTTCTGCTGCAGATATTTGAAAAAACGTAGAGCTCGCTCTTATGCATAGAATTGTTCGTGTGTACTTCGTCATTTATTAGGTCATTATTAAAATAATGGTCAATGGATGAGTTAAATTCGAATCCATCATAAATCATTGTAATATTGTATACGATGAAACAAATTTCTGAGCAGAGACGGTTGGTTTGCTTATATTCCTAAAGATATTACCATTAGTTATAAATAGTAATATAACATAGAACTATAATCGATTATATTATTACTATTAGTAAACACGAATTTGTATTATCCAATAGGTACTATATAGTATTATAATAGTACTGTAGATTGAACTAGTTTTTGCCAAAATATCTTATATTATATAACTTATTATTGTTATTAACTTATAAGTAAATATCAACATGCCTACCATAGTACGGTGTGATAGGTTCATGGTATGTAATTAGTGTAAACATTTTGAAAATTTTATTTTATTTTAACTTATAAATAACAAAATAAAAATAAACGTTATGAAAATAAAAAGATTCAAATCGATACATAAAATATTTTTTGAATAACAACAAAATAACTCAACTCGTAGGAGGAAAAATAATTATTTAATTTTAATATTAAATGTTGTCAATATTAGAATTTTAAATTCAATTAAAAATTATTGTTCATAAGTATATTATAGATATTTTAAAATTTCTTTGAGAAAGAGTTATTATAACCTAGTATTTTTCAATTCCAACGTATTAAAATGAATAATTATTAATCATATACATTTTTACCAACAAAACAATTTGCAAATATTCGTGATTTTTACAAGATATGTCACATTTGTACTTAATTCTAACTCTCTTTAAAATAATTGTTATTGTATTAAAAATAACTAGATTTTTAAATTTTTTTTTTTTAAGGATTTTCAATGAGAAATTCGTATTAAATCTTCAAGCTTATGGCCTATATTTTTTTTAATAATAAATAAATAATAGAAGCTAAAAAATAGACTAAATTCAAAGCTCTATAAATAACTCAAATAGATTCAAACTATTTTGAAAATATATTCATGTTATGAAAATGTTAAAATAAAAAGTCTAACATTTCAAGTCGTTATAAGGTTATTATATTTTGTTTAATTACATCAAAAAATTTAATGAAATTTTGTTAAAAACTAGTACCGTGGAAATATAATCGAATGTTTCTGTTCTTTGTTAGTTTTTCCCGATCATTATGTAAAGCACTGATAATTTGCTACTTATATCCCAGATTTATCAATTATAATACATGTTTTGCCAGAAACCCACCTCAAAGTTAAAGTCTAAAACTCTAAACATAATTTTTACCTTTCCAATTGGTAAAGTCAGGCTATATATAAAAAAAGTAAATAATTAAATTAATACACTCATTATTGTAGAACCAATACATCATTGCTCTGCTTTGAATTCAAAAAGTGATGCTAAAACAAAACTCAAGTGAACTAAAAATACTTATCATGGTTAAATTGTAACCATTTCTATATAAAATTAAATAAAAAAGAATGATTTTACATTGTGAACACTAATGATTCATTTAAAAAGTAAACAGCACTCTCGTAAATCAACAAGATAAAGGTACTTGTAGGTTTTTTTAAAAACTTGTACTCGAGTACCTGCCAATAGTCGAACGACTGTATACTATATGATCAAAGTGTGTTTAAGGTGTCATATTAATCGAATATAGAAAAGTTAAAATTCTTGAATAACAAATAGTTGTTAAGAAGTTTTCATAATACGTAATAATAATGTTCCTTAATAACTAATTTATTATATTTTGAATTAAAAAATAAAAAGTCTTAAACAAAATAAAAATTACTTTAAAATGTAATAAAATACATAAAACATTTACAATTAGATAACATAATAACATACTATCTATGCATATTGTATTTTTATAGAGTACCTATACAACTAAGCAACTAACACTGTAAATCAGTAAACAACCTAATAATGGAATTTCAGTAATAAGTTGTGTTTAAAACACGGTGTTTTAAAATATTCGTATTATAAAATGTAATATTTATGTCTATGAGCGCTTAACAATAACTTTAAGTACCCAGATAGATTCTTGATATTTTCATAATATTACATCAAAAAACTATAATTTTTCTGGTTCACAACGAATCAATATAGACAAGTATATTGATTTGTCCAGGATATTTCATAGATTAAAAACAATGAATTTAAATAGATCATGTTATACTATGAGATGGTTAAACGCTATAGATTTTCAATCGCAATATAAATAAAACAAGATATATAAACAATAAACATTCATATAAAAAAAAGGTTACTTATATATATTTTTTTACAAGCAATATGAAACTAAGGGATCCAACATTTGTTAGAAATTGATATAACTAATGATCTTTTAATAAACTAGGTACAAAAAGAGAATAATTTTTGAGGTTCAATACTTAAGTGTAGTTCAAGATTTCAAGTATTCGAATATTATCCATATAATATTATTGGTGTCTACATAATGTTATAGAAACCTGGTCACATGTAAGTGGGACTGGTGGGACTATTTATAGTTGAATGAGGGTTTTGAGCAGTATTTTCAATACTTTTCTACCGGAATGGTAATATGGTATACAATACAAAATACTTACCAATATTACGTTCATGTTGTTTGTAATATATTTCTTTTATTTCGTATATTTTATTTTCACAATCGAAATACATTCGTTTGCCCTTGTCGGAGTAGGTGAGAACCAACTGGTGGATGGAACAACTGTTTGTGGTCGAAGCGTTTCAGGATGCATTAGCGTATGACCAGAATCCAAAGACATCCGATAACCACGTCAGTGAGCACTCCTGAAGAGATTAAAAACGTATTTAATCCGATATTGTACAAAAAGGCAGAGACGGTTCTGAGAATGTTGAGTACATTTGTGACCACATATCTGTTTAAAATGTCCTTTCGAAAATATTTGAAAAACCATGTGGTATGTTCAATATGTTTTTATACCAATATTAAGGGTTAAGAACATATTTTAAAGTTTTCATATTAATACACGCATATAGGTACCAATATTAAATTGAGTTTGTTAAAATTACTTGAGGGTTTTAATTTATAGCCAAAGTGTAGCAGAGCCTTCAGACAGGTTTTCGTCCTTTGAATCTGTGTTATACGAATATGATTATGACATTGGGAATGAATTGACTGTAAACGAATTCATGTTCAATTGGAGTCTGACTGAAAGAGATACTTTAGATCTGTCATATCTGCAATATCAGCGACAACGTTAGGTCTCAATGTGTTATACGAATTTCTATCAACTAATTTTTTACAGTACTCTGAATGAGTTAAATGACGTCAAAGACATCTCAACGCATATTTACTCAACCCTGGCCAACAAAATGACGAAATTGAGAACGTTGGTACCAGATCTATTATTATAACCCCTTTCCCTTTCGTTAACCGAACGATGGTTTCATGGCATAACACCTATTATTATTTATTTTTTTAATGTAAAATATTTTAATCTTATACTTTTTTAAATCCTTATGTTATAATATTTACCATTTTCTATTACCTATAGTAGTAACTATTCTGAAGTCTCATGACGTCTACTAATTAATTATTTTTGTATGTTTAGTACCTCCGTTATTATGATAAATCAACTCGTTGACTTCACATTATTTATTTATATTGATTGCTTCGGCGACAACGAATAGTTATTTAGAAAATAATTTTAGTATTCATTCTTTCAGTTAAGAAATTTAAAAACAATTCCACTGTTCTTATTTCTGTGAGATCGTCGTTTAAAAAATCTTATAAAAAGGTCAATGATAACCTGGCGTGGTTCAATAAGTACGCAGATGGAATCAGCCAATAGACATTACAAAATCAAGAACTTGATCCACAAACTACAGCAACCGAAACCACATCGACTACACACATGTCTACTGGAATCTCCACGACGGTTAATCAAACGTCTATTACAACCTCAATAGGTACCATATGATTGTCTACCGCTTCTCTTATTCCAGTTACTAATTATGTGACGACGACCAAATCTAAACCATCCAGTGTAAAGGTGCATGTGTATACAAGTTGTATTATGTTACTTTTGTCAATAGAGCGTTGGATAAGAGCTGGTGGGTGGATCATTTTAAAATGACACCACGGATACCAACGTATTTAGTGAGAGAAATTGTTAGAAATTTGAAAAAATCAGATGCGATAGAAGAGTGATCAATATTTTCACATAAAACGATTACCTGAATAAAGTGCTGTATGTTAAGGAAGAAACGTCGATGTTGTTCGAAATCACACAGAACTACATAGATAGTTCAAACGAATTGAAAAAAATGGACTTAAAGTCGATACCTGACTTTGAAGGGGATGGAATGGAAAACTGGCGAATAAACTCTTACCAATATGTAAACCAGCTATCAAGCTCGGCTGTATATTATAATCATAAGCGTATCTGCATTAAATAACCTATCATGAGTTGGTCAACTTAAGAACCGAATAAACTAATCACTTTGGAACTTAACTATGCACTGGATTCGAGTTCCTGTAATGCATCTAATACTAATAGCAGTGATAGTTTTGGACAAATCGCAGGAAATTACAGACATTGAAACTACTACTGCCAGGACGACATTATATTAGACTTTAGTGCAACTTTCATTCCCCTTGTCTCGTACTGGCTGAGCCTAGATACAGACTTTCGGGCACCACATTTCCTCCCTACGAATGCTCATTGGTTACTGAAAAATTGTCTTTAAGTTCATCGCTAATGGTGTAATGTTCCTCGAATATTTCGTGTCGGGAGATCACGGTCCGGAGACTGCAGTGACATGTTTTGTTAGAATATTCAGCTGATACACCTCAGTGATGGCAACTTCAGATAAAATTATAGAAATATCGGCTTTTAGATGTTCTACCAACAGAACAAAAATAATTAAGTAGGTAATTACGTGCCTATTTATTTTGGTATAAATATCATGAGTAGCTGAGTAGGTACATCTTTAAAAATCAAATGTGAAATAGTTTAGCTGATATAATTACTTTTAAGTTTCACGTATCTACTATACCTACATATTTTATGAAGTTTACAAACGGGTGTATAACATATTATACTATTATTTTTTGTAGGTTAGGATTTAGGAATATATTATATTTTGTAAAAGCATTGGAATTGGATGTGGTACTTAAGTGTTTTGAAATTAGAATATTTATATTTACTTTCATATATTCATAAATCATTTATTAGAATCAAGGGTGTAGGAGCCGACGCGTTTTTAGTAAGTAAGTACCCAAACAAACTTGCCTAACAAGAAAAACTCTCACGACTGGTGAAATAGTCTAGTCAGATTTGGAAATTTTTTTTATTTTATAGAGAAAGACTTTATACACGCCGTATTGGATGATTTTAAATCTTAATATTGAGAAGTATAGTTATAATAAAGTTAAATAATCATAAATGTTTGAATATTTTAAAATGTATTTTTCCATATCCGTAATTTAAAGATAACTAGTTTTCAAAGTGTTGATTTAGATAACTTTAAACTAAAATCGTATTTAGTTAAACTTAAACACTTATATTTACATAATCGTATAATATTTAAAATTGTTATATAGCAGACTAAAACATAACCATGGGTATAGTGTGGACTGTGGAACGTGGAAATATTCAATAATAATATATTGAATGTATTAGTGAAATTATTTTGGTAATATTGTATCGAAGACCTTGTAAATAAATAAATTCAATAATAATATATTAAATTTACAAGTGAAATTATTATCTCAATATTGTATTATTTAGATTTTAGACCATTAAACTAAAAAGTGCAAAATTATAAGAAAAAAAATAACGCATTTTCCACTTGGATCATGTGATTGTTCAACGTATTAAAGTAATATTGCATCTATATAAGAATTGATACTAACATATTTTTAGAACAAATAGTAACTAATATCAATAAAATATTAAATAACAATACCTATATTATATTCTCAAAAAAAGTTGTGATTGGTAAAAGTAATGGTATTTTTACAGATTTGAGGTAGTTTTCTTAACTTCTGGAAATTTTTACAACTAATTTGCCATATGTCACTTAGGACCATTGCCTAAAATGTAGGTACATACATAAAATAATATGCTATGTGATTATGTGAAGTTAACTACATTTTGATTCTCACTAAAAATATAATGAGTGAACAGAAACCAATAATATAATTATAAATATAAATATAAAATAATTCTAATTATATTAAAAATATATAATCAGCATGATCAATTATATAAATATAGTGATTCAGTAATTCACTCAAGATTCTCTGTACCTATGTTGGTATAATATTGTAAAGTTAATTACTTCATAATATATTGCACAAAAATTGCAATATTGTCTCAGTTAAATTATATTTAAAAATTTTTTTTAAATAGTAATAATTGTAAAAAGTAATATATTTATATCAATAATATTAAAAACTCAAGATCTTATATTATGTAATTAAATTAATTGAAATGAGTATTAAGTAGTATTCAAAATGGATTATAGTCTATAGACATAATTTAATTAATCTAACAATTCAAAATTTAATAACAAAAGTAAATATACGAAAATACCTCGGCTTAGAATTTAAAATTACGTTGTTGAGAATAGAATAACTAGTTTATTAAACAATAAATATCAAAGAATCTGCATCTAGTCCTTGAGCTGCAGCTAAGTGCGTAAAATCATGACATTTTTAGAAAACATCTATGTATTTAAAAATTAAAATTATCGCAATAACAGAGTACCAGACTGCTATTGTTGACTAATTTATATTAAAATGTATACTAAATAATATAACAACCTCAAACACAAACATTCGACTTATTTTAAGTATAAAATGTTCATAACTAAATTATTAATTAATCGGAATAGGTAAGTACAATGATTTGTAACAAAACAATACATGAATTTTTTTCAATGATTGGATACAATTAGTGTGAGATACTGAGATATTAGAAAAAACCAACGAGAAAAACCAAAATAAACACGTTTCACGTATGTTAAAAGCTCTAAGAGAAAAATGTTTGCTTCTCTAAAATAATCACTCGACATAATGCCACTCGACGCGCTAGAGTGTTTTTGTTTTTTTTAAACATATAGGAATGTATTTCGTAATCGTCTCACACTGTATGCAAATTGTGAGTACTTTAGTATGAAAGTATATTACATAATATAGTAGTTTTTATTAACATAGGTAATATATAGTATACTATAATAGTATTTAAGCTAAATTAAAGAACACGTCTGTTCTAATTTATAAACATTATATATTAAAATTTAAATCTCGGTTAAGAATAATTCTTAGTTAGCATTTAAGTCTAGTTTAAGCTATCGTATTAGCTATATAAGGAATAGGAAAAAAGGTGAAAAGTTATTCTATTATAATATTATGGTGGTCGGTTGTTGTGACCACTACAGCCAGATAAGTTGTTATTAAATAGGTATTAACGTTGTGAACTGGATGAATGTGTTTTTTTTTGTGGAGTTCGAAATAAACAGCTCATACGAAACAACTTATCGATTCCGAAAAGCCCTCCCGAGGAGTATGGGCGTTAACTATAAATTGACGTGGTATCGCAGTTCGAGTGCGAACGTTGTAGATAAGACCTTATTTGCGATCGGGTTTAGAGTGTCGGCAGAAAACTTTAACAATACACCGTCGTCTGTTTGACGGAACCGTCAGAGGCGTCAACAACAAACATGTGCACTAAAACGGTAACAAAAATCGTCGCACTCGTTGCCGCACTCCTCGCAGTCCATCCGATTGCCTGCGGAGCGCAATCCGAATCGGACCCATCGTCGTCGTACCGGTTGCCGCGTGACACAAGGCCGTTAGCGTATGGATTGCGGCTAGTGCCAAAATATGACAAGGGCTCAGATGCATACACGTTTGGTGGCCAGGTGGAGATCCTCATTTACATAAATTGCATCACACCAAACGTGACGTTGAACGCCAAGGATATGCAGATTCAGAGCGTGGCCATCACTGAGCTGAAAACCCAGAAGGACCAGGTGGTGGACTCTTACGAATTAGACAACGACGCCGAGATTCTATACATCTACGCACAGAATAACCTGTTGCCCTACCGACGATACCTGGTGAAGATAGTTTTCCAGGGACTGCTGAGGACTGACATGACCGGTTTTTACAGGAGCATGTACAAGGAGAATGATGTAACCAAGTAAGTCAAGAAGATAAGAAATTCTAAGGTTCCTCCTAGGGGAGGGGGGGGGGGTTTGGAAACGTAGGTTTGGATATATGATGTGCCTTTGTAAGTACTAAAATATGAAATGCTTGAATAATTTGTTCTGTATAAACGAAAGGATGAGCATCGAACAACAATTCAGAAATTATAAATTAATCATGCAATATTATTGTAAGTGTGTATTTTTAATTTGTACTCCACGGGAAATATATTATTCCATTGAGTAAAAATGTCCAATGATAAATTCAAAAGAATAATATTTATGGGGGAATGGCCGAGCGGACTAAGGCGGCGGTTGCGGGCGGCATTTTTCTTCGGGCAAGTCACGGTGTCCGGAGAGAAGTGCCGCCATCCCCCACCCCGGCATGGAAAATACCTACGGGTGCCCACTAAAAAATCTGCCAAACTAACAAACACATGTATTTAACCTACACGACCCTCCCCCATACTTAAAAACCACCCAATGGCCTAATTAATAATAAAAAAAATATATATTTACTATGTTATTTAAATCAAAATTTACAATAAAATGCCCTATAAGTTTCACTTATATGAGTCACAGTGGCAGTTCACGAAATGCTTTTAAACTTTTATTTTATGTTGATATAAGAATATGATTAATATATTTTACATGAGTATGTTTCACAACTGCTCTGGTTTACAATTATTCCACTCCATCACCGATGTAGTACGATTTCTGTGATTTCAATGATTCAATTTAGTTTTTTTGCCATTCCGTAAAATAACATATAAAATGACTCCATGCCTTTTCTGTATGTTTAATAATAATTCCGTAATGTAATATTATTTCAATGTTGCGTTTGCAGATGGATGGCTGTTACACAATTCAAGCCCGCGTACGCGAGAAGAGCGTTCCCTTGTTACGACGAACCTGAATATAAAACTCCGTTCAATATATCACTGGGTAGACAAGTGAATCAGATGACGTTATCCAACATGCCTATGTACTTTTCACAGGATCTGTGAGTCATCAAGTTTGCTCAGAAATAAACTATAACTTTCGACCTCTTAACGCAACTATTCGAAGAAATTTGGTTTCTTACGTTTTCACCTTAATATTGTCCCCTACATAAGTGCTCATGAAGTAATATATTTAATATCATTGATATATATATGATTTCACGTGAATTGGATACGATCATAAATAATAGTCCACTATTTTTTATTAACATTGTTATTATCTATGTATAAGAATATGTATTAATTATATTTGTTTAAACTTTGTTGTTATAGTATGACATAATTATGTTCTAGTGATTTTGGTTTCGTGGAATATTGAAAAGTGATTGAGTCATTTATTAATGACGAAAATAGAAAAATTATGAGTTTTAAGTATTACACTTTAATAATTTATTAATTATATTCAAATGAGAAAAAAAAAAGCAGCAAGGAATTATTATGAAATAAAATTCGTGTTATAATATAAATATTAAAAGTGAAAGCAAAAATCAGGAAGACATGCCTAATAATTTCAAAAAAGTTGAAGCTAGTATATTAGTCTACTTAATGTTTGGATCTTGGTCGACTGAGAGATGATGTGGTGTAAAGATAACACTCTATATCGAATGTTTATTCGAGACATATGTCTATAAATTTAAATAACAATAATCGTCGGGATAAAAAAAGTATCAAATAATCATAGCATAACGTTTATTCGTCCGATATAAATTTAAATAAAACCCAGTGATTTTCTTTTAATATAACTAAAAGAAATTTAAAATGTATAGTACATTGAAATAGAAAAATTCCTGTTGAAAAATATATTTGTATGGCATGGAAATGCGTTAACTGGATGCCATATTTTGATTCTTGTAGCGGATATTATGGCTTTCATGTGGATCATTATGAAACGACACCACCGATTCCAACTTATTTAGTCGGAGCACTTGTCGGTAACTTGAAAAAATCAAATGCGATAGAAGGAAGCGATGTCAATGTTTACACATACAATGATTACTTGAATCAAGTATTGTACGTTACGGAAGAAACGGCAACGTTGTTCGAAACCATGCAAAATTACACAGATAGTTCAAACGAATTAAAAAAAATGGACTTCATATCAATACCGGACTTTGACGGTGATGGAATGGAAAACTGGGGAATAAACACTTACCGGTATGTAAACCAGATATGAAGTTAGGTTTTATGTTATAATGTTATTTGTTTTTGGTTTGTGTGTGTGTGTGTTTGTGTATGTATATTTTCATCATTGGGCACACAGGGAAAAGTACATGTTGTTCGACGACGATGCAAAAATGAAATTCAAAGAGCAGTCTCAAATGGTGATCCAAAACCTTAACAGCCACCAGTGGTTTGGAAATATGGTGACCTGTGCGTGGTGGGATTACCTATGGTTAAACGATGGATTTTCCCGGTATTTCCAGTATTTTGCGATGGAAATGGTGAGTTCAGCCGTAATGATTTTCGGAACTATGTGGGTGTATGATCTGTATTTTTTGGATCGTATTCCAGGTGAATCAGGACTGGAGGTTAGAAGAACTATTTGTGGTAGAGCAGCATCAAACTGCCATGGAGTTTGACCAGACCCCTAGACACCCGATAACTGCGTCCATAAAAACTTCTAATGACATTCAAAATGTATTTAAAGAAGTTATTTGCAATAAAGCTGCGGCTGTTCTAAGAATGTTAAAATGCATAGTTACTGAATACAATTTTCAAGAACCCCTAAAGTTGTATTTGAAAAACTTTAAGTAGGTCATATTTACATTTTATTTTCAGGGGTTAAGCGAGGTAACAAATTATTTTTCTTTATGATTCTTCAAATTGTTCTATTTAGAAACGGTGCAGTAACTCCAAGTAACTTGTGGGCAGTTTATGAAAACTATTACTTTGAAACTGAATATACGTTTTCAGAGAATGTGCAATTCACCAATTTTATACAATCTTGGACCGATCAGTCAGGTTATCCAGTAGTAAACGTCACTAGAAATCAAAACATGTACATAATTACTCAGGTAAATATTAGACTCAATCAAGTATAATATTATTGGATTTTATTAAATATAAAAAGTAATTTATTAATCATTTGAATTTTTTAGAAAAAATTTTCGGTTTGGCCATCCAGCGATAATACTACCAGCTGGTACATTGGTCTTACTTACACTAATAATTTGGCGAGAAATTTTGATGACCTAAGACCAGTTAGATGGCTAAAACCTTACACTACAGTAATGTACTTGCGTGATTCAAGCCTTAGTACTTGGGTGATTTTCAATTTGCAAAGCACTGGTATTGTACCCTTCCAATGTCTATGTTACTATCCATTTATTGAATTTATTTTTCATTATTGGCAGGATTCTATAGGGTTAACTATGACCTTAATAATTGGCAGCAACTAATAAAACAGTTGAACGAATCAAATACCAATATACATGTTCTGAATCGAGCACAGCTGATCGATGATTCGTTCAATCTTGCAAGAGCAGGAATGTTGCATTATTCGGTAGCTCTGAACCTGTCCACCTACCTCATGAAGGAAGACGATGAAATACCGTGGTACACAGCCATCGAATGTTTGTCTTACGTGGTCGAACGAATGCGTCGTAGTGCTGAGGGTTATGATTATATAAAGGTATGTAACCAATTTTATATAGTACAAATCTTATACAAAATTACGTAATGTCACCTTGAAATGGTGGGGTTGAGTAATGTTACTCTACTTCTAATGTATTACTAACTCCTTGTAGTACTCACCCTAAACAGGCATAACATGATAATTTCCTTTTTATAAAAAAAAAATAGCTGATCCCGTGCACTTCTTTGCTCGTTAAAAGTGCCAAATCTTTATGATTCAAACTTAGTTAAATTTTTTATTTATTATTCGGTGTATGGGCCGGTATTCAAAACTTAAACATTTTTATCGATCATCTTGAATCTCAAAATACTTGTGAAAGGACCACTTTAAAATGCGAATTTTGGAAGATGCTTTCTTAGTGCACACTTACAAGGTGGTACGAAGGTAGGTACTGTGAATATTGCAAGCCACAAGCTATCATTATTTAGGCTCTACGTTGAACAGTTAATGAGTTAGTAAGGACACGTTGTCACGTTCGGTTATATTATATTATAGCCATCTCGCCCGGCGTTTGAACAGTCTATTTTGAGGTAGACCTGAAGTGGATTACCTACCCCTCAAGTTGTGTACGTAATTACAAATGTTTTATTAACACGTTGTTTACGATGTGCTTGTGTAGGTTCCCAGGACAACAGTCGACAAATCAGCGTTAGGAATACCATTTTTACTAAGATATATGGTTTTGGCCAAAAATATTATACAAGTTCAAGATTATATTCAATCATATACTTACATCGCAACATTACAATAAATAAAAATAAATTATTATTTAATTTATTTTTTTACTGGACAGATAGTGCCAATGTTTTATTTTTTTTATCCATATTTCTTACGTTTCCGGTTAATTTTTCCGATATTTTAACAGTTATTCTGCTATTCTGGGCGGAGACGAATCCAACAAAAATAAGAGTTTATTACAATTGGTTGAGCCGTTCTTGAGTTATAATTGGTGTAACTAAACCGACTTTGTTTTATAACTATATATAGATGTTTAGTGCTTTTTCGTTTAGTTTTAAATGTTTTTAGAGCTGTATAATTCCAACTCTAGTTATAATCAATAAAATCAATAACGAAGAAATGCGAAACCACGATGTTTCATTATTACTTAGTAATAAAGTAATTAATGCACATTGGTGTTAAAATATTATATTATTAAGTATTACCAATATTGTAGTCAGTGAGTATCTAATAATATGTTAACGTATGTTTTAATATTTACAGTCTTACGTTCGGAAATTGGCCGATTATGTTTACAGAAAAACTGAAACTTTAGTTGTACAACATAACAACGACCACCACACGACCATTACTAGCTGGAATAAATTTTCTGTATGGGCTTGCTACTTGGACGGCGAATATTGTACGAATAACGCAATGTTAAATTTCCAAAAATGGACAAATAGAGAAAGGTAACGTTCAAAGCATGGCCAATAAGTTATGAAAATATTATGTTTTCTAGTTATTGGTTTTAATTTAAGTTATTTCTTATTTTTGTTGATTAGAATATCGCCCGACATTAAAGACGCTGCTTTGTGTACAGGAATTAAAGTCAGTAACAACATGGATACGTGGAAAGGTGTGCTCAATGTGTACATGACCACTAAATCAGCTTCGGAGAAAAACTCAGCCCAGTCTGCCTTGGCTTGTTCACAAAACACATTAACATTATATAAGTATGCGATTATGTAAACCAAATTTTTATTTGACAATGTCAAAGAAAATATATTATTTGTTCGTAATAAAAGACAATAATTTTAAAATATGTGCAACATTATTTCACATATAAACATACTTTCAAAAAAATATTTAAAAACAGTATTTTTAATATATTTCGAAAATATTATATTAATTTTTATCAGAAAATACTTCCAAGAATTAATCGGAATAGGCACATCTGTTTGAAATGTTTTTTTTTAAAAAACTCGTTTTATAATAATATTTTTTTGGGTATTTTTATTACCTGCGTTGTGTACTTACTTCGTTTACTCCAAACGAAAGCAATAATTGAATTTCTTATTTATTTTATTTTAGATACTTGGAATTTTTATTTGACAGCAATACTGGTGGCCCAGTACGTTTACAAGATTTCAAGGACATATGTGATGCGATATCTTTGACACCTCAAGGGATCGAAGCGTTAACGAACTTCTTAATGAATAACATAGAACGAATACTAAGACAAATACCTACAGGAGAGAGTATCGTTACGTACATGTATAGGATTTTAGCTTCAAAAGTAGCTCTTGACATTGAAATAGCTAAGGTGAGGTCCAAAATAAATAGTTAATTATCAATAATTGTTTACAATTTAATATTAATATTGAATAGCAAAAACATATTTATTTTGAATATAATATGATGCATGAAGTTTCTTGACAACTGTATATTTTTGGGTACAACATTTAACATAAACAATTTAAGGTACCTAGATAATATACTTTTTCATATAATTTCAAATACTATTTGTATGAATCATAGGCTTGCGCAGACTCTGGTTTCAGGGGTAGCAAGAAATTAATCCAGCCCATTTTCCAAATTCACCATTAAACCTGCCCATAGTTTTACTTTTTTTACTATAGGGTAGGTATCAAAATAAAAATTGTATTGGTTTTTAGTTTTTTTGGTTTTTTTACCATAAATGATACCTACCTAATAATATTTACAATTTAAAATCATGACTATACTTTTTTCGATCGATTCGTTTTATACTGGTAAATTGTGTCACCATAAAATATGTATCTATAGTTTACGTTTACTAAAAAAAAAAGGTGTATATAATTGTTTAATCTACAATGGTCATAATTTGTGGGAATATAACTTTAGAATTTTACTGAGGCCCATTATTCAATATTTTCTGGTCTCGGTAACCCCAAAAAAAAATTTAATTGCAGCATATACTACCTCTGCTGCTCCCGTATGTACGCCTATTGTTGTTAAATGCTAGTATACATAAAATGTAAGTTGAAATTTAGTTTTACAATGGAAAATGTCATAATAATAAATAATAAGATCTTATACAGTCATGCTTATGATACTTTTATTATAACTATTTGCATTCTTGATGGGTACTCCTTTGTCAGACGAAAATCTTAGGAAACACAAAACAAATTTTTAATAAGACTTTGTAGAAACTTCCCAAAAATAATAATAACATGATAATTAATTGTATTATATATTTTTAATAAATGTATTTTTTCAGTTGACAAATTTGAAGAACGCAGCTGAATTGCCATCGAAAATTAAAGCTTCATTCGACGAATCGTACTTGCAAGTAGAACAAAATCTCCTGTGGTATAAATGTTACCACACCACAATTAACCAATGGACAGGAGCACCGCCAGACCCTACAACGACTGAACCGGATACGACCGTGTCATCATCGGATACAACCGTGTCATTGTCGGATACGACTGTTTCGTTGTCGGATACAACCTTGTCGTCAACTGTACCGCCGATGTCACCACAACCGACGTATCCAACATTTGATTTCGATAACCCAACACCAGGTCCAGGCGTAATTTCTAAGTGTCCCAATAGATCTGGTCAATCGTCGTGTCAGAGTAATTTGTTTTTCATAATTTTCACTGTCACCACGGTGACAACTATATGGTCGTTTTGTAGATAGGTATTGCAAGAAAAAAAAAAGCGATCCGCAAATATTCTTGGATTTCTTTTCATACTTGGATAATAAATTTAAATATATTAATTTGTGCTACTGACAGGCATGGAGTAGTAATAAGTTGTCATTAAATTATAATTGAATATGTGTTGTTATCAAAAGAGTATGTTTTTGTTTTAAATGTGTTATAATAAATATTGTACCTACGTCCTATATTCGATTGTTCCAAAAATATTACTTTATTTATAGCTATACGTATGTATTGTGAATAACTGTAAGGTTAACTTATAAAATAAATATTAAATACTGAAAGTCTGAAACCAGTCACACCTAAATAGAAATTATGTACTTTAATTCTATACTTATAAAATTATCTATGTTGATTTTATTTATAATTTTACACTGTTTTAATCTTATTTAATTAATCTAATTATTTAATTTCGTTGCTCAATCATTGTGCACATAGTAGTAAATCTTGATAATTCTCTAGTAAGTAGTCAAACTACACAATTCCATAAAACTTTTCAACTTTGCCTGATTTGGTTAAAGTAATTTATTGTTATTAAAAACAACTATCACTTATTTATTGTAATAGAACTTTAGAATATATTATTAACAATGAAGAAGTTCTTATTTACTTTGGAGCTTTAGAATATTGTAAGTGATAGTCATAACTTAATAATACCTAATCACTTGGGGAGGTATATGATAAGAATCAAGTTGTGTAGTGTTACTTGTATAGAACTTTAGATATATGTTTAACTAACTTCCAGTATATTTTACAACATTATTCATTATAGGTACATACACATAGGTACTACAATAATTACAAATTTGTATTTATTGAAAAGAGTGATTTTGTTCATCACTGGTTTTTGTAATGGCAATATGAAATTCAATTGATTGTATTCAAATGAGTTTTCAATCATTGTATACCTTTCGATATACGAACAAATAGCGTAGGAACACAGCTGCTACCTACAAAGAAGTAAAATTATTGGTATAGGCTATAGGTACCTATTAATATTTATTTATACGGTTTTTAAACACACATATAAAATAAACATTAGATTAGATAATAAAAAAAAATGTAAATTAATATATTCATTAGAATATTAAAAGTTCGTAAATGGTTTTCATTAAAAAAAAAAAAAAAAACAATTATTATAATCAAATGCTTACTGATAAACAAGATGCATACGCTAAAAAAATAATGAGCAATTTCGTCAAAATATTTTATTATGTAGCCACAGATTCGCTTATTATTTCACTTTTGTATACTTAGATAATTCTAGATACGGTTTTATTTTTCGATAACCATGCATAATATTATTTGATTATTGTATTAATTAAAAGTATGTAATGCTAAGTTAAAAATACAATAATACCTATCTAATTTTATAATATAAATAAGTATACAAAATGTAACGTAAAATAAGTAGGTATGTTGATGCATGATATATACTAATTAAAAATAATGAATACACAAACATTGAAATATCAGTTAATTACTCAAAAAATTTCTCTAAATTATTATTTTAAGTAAACCTCAACAGTAATATAAATGTTGATAGGATACTTTAATAGATTACAATATTGTTTGTTATAAAACTATCTGTTGTAGTGTTGTCAGTTGTCACATTAATATACATTACTATTAAAACAATAGCGATACGTATACGAAAAACATTAAAATAATTGAGTTGTTACTTACTCGTAAAAATGTGTTATACCGTTGCAATAAGTACTTAAGTTAAAATTAAAATACACTTTGTATTAGAAATCGTATAATATATTATGATGTAAACACAAACTATGAACGTATTATTCTACTCAAAAGTCGAAAAAATAATAACCAAACTAAACTTGTTTTAAAAATACAAATAAGATTCAAAACAATAGAATTTTAATAGAAATGTAAAAATTTATATTTACTTTTATTTACCAATAATAGTATAATATGCTTATTGTCATATACATCATATTTTACTAAGCACCTATTTACCATTTTTACGGTTATCGAAGAAAATGATGAAACTAATCAAGTTTTTTTTTTTTTTTTTACCTTTTAAAATTGAATAATTCTTCCACTGTAGTCTGTAATTGGAATTTAAAACTGTGTATAAAACGTAAAATATTATATTCACTTACACACGGTGTATAAGGTCAGGTTATCGTATTGCACTTCTAGAATTGTATATGTGATTTGCAAATCATTATTGCAAGCATATATTATGAGATATTATTCAGAAAATTATGTCGGTTGTATGTGTATATACTTCTAAGAAACACAACTAAATTAGGAACACGAACAATTTAATGGGTGTCGTCCAATTCGAGTATACTAATACACAAGAAAAAACCCTATTGTATTAGTTTTTTTTCTTTTATGTTATTTTTTGGATTTTAAAGCTTTGGCGTCATAGTACCATTATCCAGTGTTGTAAAGTATTTGAGTTAATTCAAATACTTTTTTTCGTATTGAATACTTCTTTAAATACTTTTTATTTTGAAGTAATTGAATGGTATTTTCAATACTATTTTAAATTTTTTTTATTATTGAATACTATTTTATTGAATACTTTTTTTTTATTCTTTTAATTCTTAATTTGTTTTTATTTACAATCCTTTTTAAATAAAAAGACCTTGCCATCGTGTTTATCCTTCAACGTTATAACAATGTTATATTATATATTTATCATCATTTATGGACAATTCGATATCGGTTTATGTCGATTAATAGCTTAATTAAATATTTTTTTTCTCCAGTCTTCGACGACTACGGTACTTCGGTATCATAATACCTATGCTTATTAAGTCAATAACAAAATATATATTATGCAATAAGCTTTTGCTTAACAGCTATAGTTATACTTTATAATTTATTTAACTGTACGAAAATATTATTACTAATTATTAGTGCCACTTATTTACCAAGAAAATGGTTATGAATAATATCATTATCGCTTATAGTCGACACTCGACAAAGATCAATGGTATGGGATATAAAAATACATACCTATATAGTTTTAATCTAATATATTATACCTCTATAGAGAAAAGTTCTTTGTTGTAGAGGAACTATCACTAAAAAAGAACTAACATGACTGATCAGAATTTTGATTTTTGAACGAATCATGTTTTTAAAATGCAATGAGAAAATTTTTAATTATAACTAATTATATATCGGAACTAAATAGAATTTTTTTTTTAATTTGAAGGTTATTATAAATACTTTTTTTAAAATTTAAACATTTTTTAAATTATTTTTTACAACAATGCCATTATCCCACTTTAATCTATTATGTATATAAAAGCAAGTTCAGATTTTGTGTCACGGGTTGGCTCCTAAACGGCTTGGCCGATGTGGGTGATTCTTTTTTTGTTATGTTGGTAATTGTCAGGACCAGGTTGTTATGAAAGAAAATTTTAGGAAAATCTACTGGAAAATTAGGAAATCTGGATGTCAAAAATACAACAGTGGCTCCATCTGTATAGGAAAAAATAAACTAAATAATAATATATTTTTGTTTATTGTAAGGTTGCTATTGGTTATGATTGTTGTAGTTTTAGTTGTTAATTTTGAAGAATTTTATTAAAATAAAAAGAGGAAATTAAACCCTGGCCGCTCCACAAATGGTGTTAAAAGGAAGCGCTTATCTAGGAACAATATAGTTGAAGATGAAATTAATATCATGTATAAGAATTAAGTAAAATCAAAAAACTTGGTATAATACTCTGATAGGTATACTTTAGAGTTAAATTATACACTTACGTACAAACGGCTATAACATGACAGAAGCACCAATGGTGCAAAATTGGTATATCATTTGCACAAAATTAATATTTTATATAAAACTTATTTAAAAATTGTCAATAAATATAATAGAAAATAATAAATTATAATTTCAATAAATCGGTTGATTTTTTCGATTTTATGAAATTAAAGGTCAATACTCAATAATAAATTGATAAAATATAATATACATACGAATAAATATATAATTTGAATAAACTGGTTGATTTTTTCGATCTTATAAAAAATTGTCAATAATAAATTGTTAAAATATAATATAAAGTTCTAAATGTAATATCTATTAAGCGTGACACACAGGTATCTAGGATTTTTGCGCTTTCGTTTGATACGATTTTGGCGCTTTCGAACTATACAACTTTCAACAGTTTTACACTATTCAGCATACGCCATTCAGTTCAATTACTCTTCATATAAAAAAAAAACTTTGGAAGATAGATTGACAGGATTTGTGGAGCCTCGAAACAGCCCTACAATTTGCAAAAAACTATACACTGGGGCGGAGCACGCGTTTGACAGCTAGTATTATAATATATTTATTTGTGTCCAACCATCGATCGCACAGCATATGAATTTAACTTTCGCTGAATGAAAGAACTGAGCGGGCTCTTTGGTATAATATATATATATATTAATATATATTTAACTATAATATTATATAGCAGTTAATTGAATTGATATTATTACTATTATTTTGTATAAAAAGATAAAGTTATCTGTTGTTTTTAATAATTAGTTCTCTTCAACGTGTTTGCTTAAGAACGAGTTATTGATTTTGATCCCAACTATTAAAGTTAAAGTTTTAGGTTTGTGTATCTAAAATTTACAAACGCTCAATGTGTTATGCGAAATATTGCTCTCAGAAACATAGATAGATAGAGAGCGAAAGACAGAGAGAGAGTGAAATAGTAACTTCTATTAATTGTGGTGTAGTGCTTATATCCTGTTTAAAATAATTTTAAATTGATTGTTTCTCTGCAAATTTGTGAATCATTAATTAGGTATTCCAAACCCTACGAGAACCACGATAATAATATTATAATAATATACAGTGTGTCTTGTGTATGTTCATCAAGTTATCAAGGTTAATATTAATACAGTTATGGGCATCGCTCCAAAATATAAGCTCCAAGTTAACTATTTTTTTTTAATGTTAAGTTAATATGAAAAATGTAAGTTAAGTTTAAAGTTA